CTGGTTCAAAGGAGGATTTGCAGAGAAAGGAGAGGCTGGTTTAGCTTTCTTGCTGGGAGTTCGATCCCCCACTGGGCCGTCTCGACCAAGGCTGGCCTTGAGGATCCATATGGGATGGATAGTTCCCCAGATCTAAGCTGATGATTAGATTACCTGAAATTTCCACAGCTTTCATCCGGACCTCATCCTGGCCGCTCGAGAAATAGGTGGAAGCTTTTCTCGGGAGGCCCACGCTCCGTTTGGGGCTTTCTTTGACCTAAAGATTCCGGTAGCAATCACTTCAGTGTGTTGGGCTGCCAACATCCATGTTTAAAATAACATGAGGATGATGGTTTATCCCAGTCTTGGGCAGATAGCTCACAAGGCTCTGTTGCATTTTTTTTTTAAGAATGACTTTTTGGTTGTTTTTTTTCTTTATTACTGTACATGTAAATAAAATCAATGATTGGGTTTCCCAGCTTATGAAAAGGGCCGGTGTTCCTGCTAGGGTCTGTGTCTTGGCCAGGCATGTGACCGAAACCTGCGCCGGCACCTTGTCAACTAGTCCCCATTAGCTACAGTCCAGTTATGGAAAGCTGACCCAAAGGCGGACACTGGATTTCAATATTTGGTCTGGTTTGCTTGCTTGGGTGACAGAATAAACCTGGCACGGCCAATTGACCTTTCTGAGGCCCAGCTGATTGCCGAGGCCTCGGGCTCTCCCTCTTGCTGTCGTTGTGATCTGTCATCAAGTCAGAACCAATTTCTAGGGACCTTAATAGGGCTTTCAAGGGAAGTGAGCTATTTAAGGAGAGGCTTGACCCGCTCCAAACCCCCAGGGAGCTTTGAAAGGGGGCGGCTATTTGGGGGAGAAGGGCCCTGAACCAAACCCCTCTTCTTAGGAGTATGATGCTCCACACTTGTGTGTGTGTGTGTAATTTTTTTTTTTTTGGTGGAGAGTAGCCCAACATGGCCTGGGCACCTTTGGTGGCCTTTGGGGCAGCCTACCCTGCAGGGCTGTTGCAAGAATGAAAGGGGGGGCTATTTGGGGGAGAAGGGCCCTGAACCAAAGCCCTCTTCTCAGGAGGATGAACTAAAAAAACCTGCAAGGTCTGAATGGACAATATAAGGATTCAAGACCTGGCCGAGACGCTCCTCCTGCAAGGGGGAAAACCCCTCTGCTCTCGGATTGGGGCCGGGGGGGGCAAAAGGGGAGGTGGGCCGATGGGGCTCAATGAGGCTGCCCCCTGCACCCCCTCCCTGGTGGAGGGAGGGGGTCGCTTCTAGAGAGAGGAGTGCACCCACCTTGCAAAGCCCTCCTCCCCAGGGATTGGGGGGGGGAAGTCGAGACCAAACATCTCCCCAGCTCTGGAAAGGACAGAGGCTCCACTCCCCCCTAAACCTGGGGGCAAAGGCTGCTCCTCTTGGCCTTCCATCCTGGTGGGAAAATCCTGTTGCTGAAGTGCAGAACAGAAGGGGAAGGGGCTCCATGAGCCCCCCCCTGCTCCAGAAGCTCCCCCCCCCCAACAGCATCACTCTTTCCGTGAGTGAGAAGAGACACCCTTGGGGGGAACTGGAGACTCTGGCAAGATGGTCCTCCTGCTCAGGGTCTCCCCAACAGGCTGGTAGGGACACATCTTCACCTGGGATGTCGTGTTTTGTAAGCGGGAGGAAAAAAAGGCTTCTCCACTCCTCAGCTCGCTCATGCTTTATTTCACCTTTTCCACAAGTAACACAATGTTGAAAATTCAACTGCATGCAATCACTCGGCTGGCCTTTCCCTTCCATCACCAATTATTTCACACACGGAAGCGCACCTGGCCAGCTCTGCCCAGTCAGCCTGAGGCTCCGGGTCAGTCTGTGCTTGCCCAGAGGAATAGGGATGATTTCTCTGACCACCGCAAGCAAACTCCTCACCTGAAAGCATGTTGCTGCTACATGGCCTGGGAGGTGTGCATCCCCCCCACCCCCAGTGCAAGAACCCAGCGTGCACTGAAGCAACCTCCAAACGTGTCTTAAAATCCCCCCCTTGCGACCCTTCCCCACAAGATGACATCACACGAGAAGGACACCAGAAAAAGCCAAGCCCCCCCCCTCCTCCGTGATCTTCAGCCAGGGCCTTGAGGGCAGCTGCCACGTCAGCCACGGCCCTCTCGTTCATCTCACAAGGGTAGAAGCCATCCTGGAGGGTGAAGCGGGTGTGCACGGTCCCCACCACGGCTGGATGGGGCACCCGGTGCTTAGCATCCACAGAGGTTCCTGGGTTGTCCTTTTGAACATAGTGCATCACCACCAGGAGGACCATCCGCTCACCTGGAAAAGAAAGGAGAGGAGCAGCTGTGAGACCAAGCCTGGAGGGGAGGTTCACAAAAAAGTGGGGTGGGGAACCTCAAGGCCGTCCTTGGGGGACAGTTCTGGGGGGGTGAGTGTGTCCTCAGGCTGATCAACTGGAGGTCCTGGAGTCCCCCAATGGGAGCAAAGGAACTCTTTACAAGCCAAGGAGAGGGTCTCGTGTCGTTTGCCTGCACTGACCCACTGGATCATGGCTCTAAGGTCAGGGGAACCCAAGAGGGGTGTGTGCGCGTGTGAGGGGAACAGTGGCAGGGAAAGCCACAATTATTATTATTATTATTAGTTGTTTGATTTATACGCCACCCATCTGGCAGCCATGGCCACTCTGGGCGGTTTGCAACAGATAAACAAAGAACAGAATAACAAAAATAATACATATATGAACTAATAATACTGCAATACAATTGGGGTGTAAACCAAAGTATCATAAAACTGTCGCCAGCAAGCTGCCCCTCGGGAGGGACCGGTCGAGGGGTTTCTGAGGTGTGGGGAATGCCTCCCTGTGGAGGGGTCCGATCCCATTGTGCTCAAAGGAGGCAAACAGGAAGACTACGGTTGGGGGAAAAAACAAACCCTCCTTGGACCCAAGGGAACCGGATAATTATACTGCCCAGTCTCTCCGTTTCTCAGGCAAGGGGCTGGAGCGGGTTGTGGCTTTCTCATCTCCAGGGCGGTCCTGGATGAGACAAGAGAATTTCGATCCATTTCAAGTTTCTATTGGTTCTGAGTCGGTGTGTCTGGTGTCAGTCATAGATTTGATGAGGGTGAATAAGCTGAAACTTCATCCAGACGAGACAAGAGGGGCTCCTGGTCCCATCAAAAGGCAGATCAGGGAAAAAGGGATGCAGCCTCTGCTGGATGGGGTGTGTGTGTTACGGGGTTACCCTCCCCTTGAAAGCACAAGTGGGCAGTTTCTGGGTGGTCCCGGATTTGTCTCTCAGCCTGGACGTCCAGGTTTCAGCGGCGGACAGGAGTGCCTTTAGACAGTTAAAACTGGCGCGCCAACTGCACCCGTCTCTTGAGAGGGGCTGATGTGGCCATGGTGACGCATGTTTCAGTTACATCCCATTTGGATTACTGTGACATGCTCTCTGTGGCATGATCTGTTTCCGGGCACAATTCAGAGTGAGGGTTCTAACCTATAAAAGCCCTAAATGGCTTTGCATCCAAATGATTAAAAAGACTAATTTACCCTCCATGAGTCTGTCTGGGTTTTAAGATCATCAGACTTTCTATCTGTCCCACCACTTTCAGAGGTACGTCTGATGGGGACAAGGCCTTCCCTGTGGCGGCTCCCAGCCTGTGGAACTCCCTCCCACTGGAGGCCTTCCACAACCAGGCAAAGACCTGGAGATGCTTGTAGCTGATGAGGTTTTCAACCTTTACAGCCAAAGAGCTACTCCGTAGGATTTCAGCCAGTGAGTGCTAATTAGCTTGCTTATTGCCAAGATAGCAAATGGCGCAACAATAAAAGCAAAAGCAAAGCGTGCTGCTCATAGACCGCCCCATAGCACTTCAGGCACTCTCTGGGCGGTTTACAAGTTAATTATGCAGGCTACACATTCCCCCCCCCCAGCGAGCTGGGTACTCATTTTACCAACCTCGGAAGGATAGAAGGCTGAGTCAACCTTGAACCGGCTACCTGGGATTGAACCCCAGGTTATGAGCACAGTTTTGGCTGCAGTACAGCGGTTTAACCACTGCGCCACGAGGCTCATAATAAGATGCTTGCTATTCAGTGATTTTTCTCCCCGTGTTCCACTTCCCTCTAATTGTACTACATCCTTTAGTCTCCAACCACTTACATCTGCATAAATATGATATATTTCAAGGTTTTGTCTTTGTCATACAAGATTAGGGGACACTTTTTCAACCCCCCTAAAAAACCCCACCTGCCTTGCATTTTAGAGAAAGGACCTTTCATACTGTGCAAAAAGACCTATCTTTTTCCCTGCAGTTGCAATGAATGGGGGGGAGGGGGGCTGGTGTTTTTACTCTCGTGCAGGAGCCAAACCTCAGCCAGCAGGTGCTCAGGGCTTTTTTTGTTTGGAAAGGATGTCTTGATGTTTTAAGACTTATTTTCCTTGGCTCATCAAGACATCCTGCCTTTGATGAGGCTTTTTTGTCAATACATATTCTATCGTTCACCGCGAAGCTGCTCCAAGAGTTTATCAAGGCTCTAACAGCCAGAGAGGGACACCACGGCCACCCCACCCCAGAGTCAATTACTCACTGCTAAGTCTCTCAAGGGCGTTTTCGATGTCGGTGCCCATGCGGGAAGCGATGGGGCAGAAAACCAGAAGGAGGTGTTTCGAATTCTCGGTGAGCCCCTTCACTTTTAGAGAGACGCCTTGGCGGGACAGGAGCGTGGAGACATCCTGTAAAAACTGCCCATCGTAGCCATAAGTCTTCCCAGTGGTCTGGACCTGAACGTGGAAGTCTGGAAAGAAAGTGGAGGGGAGGGGACAAAGTTCCCATTAACATCTTACACCTGAAGGAGAAACTGAGGACCAGCCTAAATGCCACCCTTTTCCTGAAAACAGCCAGGATAACAGGCAGCTGTGGAGCCTCTCTTGTGGAAGAGACACACATGCGTGGTTATCGTCGGCGTGAGGTGTAGGCCAGGCGGTGCTGGGGGACGCCTGCTCAACGCTCCGACCGCTGGCCTGTGGCGTCCCTCAGGGTGCTGCTTGCTTTTTAACATCTACATGAAACCACTGGGAGAGGTCATCTGGAGATTTGGGTTTTGGTGTCCCCAGTATGTGGATGATGCCCAACTCTCTTTCTCTCCTTTCCACCTAATTTCAGGGAAGCGGTCTTGACTCTAGACCAGTGCTTGGCCTCAGTCATGGGCTGGATGAGGGCAAACAAACTGAAACTTGATCCAGAAGAGACAGAGGTGCTCCTGGTCCGTCGGAAGGAAGATGAGGGAATAGGGATACTACCTGTGCTGGAACAGGGTTACGCTCCCCCTGAAAACTCAGGTCCGCAGCTTGGGGGTTACTCCTGGACGCATCCCTAAGCTTGGATGCCCAAGTCTCAGCGGTGGGCAGGTGTGCATTTGCAGAGCTAAAGCAGGTGCACCAGATGCGCCCGTTCCTTGAGATGGCCGATCTGGCTACAGTGACACATGCCTTAGCTGCATCCCGTTTGGATGACTGCAACGCGCTCTATGTGGGGCGGCCTTTGAAGACGGTTCGGAAACTTCAGCGGGTGCAAAATTCTGCAGCCAGACGACTGACTGGGGCCAGCGGCAGGGAGCCTAGAATGCACCTGTTACAAAAACCGCATTGGCTACCCGTCCGTTTCTGGCCCCAATTCAAAGTGCTGGCTGTTACTGATAAAGCCCTCTATGGCTTGGGTCCAGGCTCCCTGAAGGAACGTATCTCCCTATAGGCGCCTTCTCAGCCATTAAAGATCAGCAGAGAAGACCCTCCTCTCGGTCCCACGGCCAGTGTAGGCACGGCTGATGGGGACCTGCGAGACGGGGCCTTCTCGGTGGCCGCTTCCACGCTATGGAACGCTCTCCCTCAGGAGGGCTGGCTGCTCCCCCTCCCTCTTATCCTTCCGCCAACAGCTGAAGATCCACGTTTTCAGGCAGGATTTTAACAATCACAAGCGAGTCCCTGAATGGCTTTTAAAAGTTACGATAGTTTAAAATGTTTACTTGCTTTTAATTATTTAATCCTATTTTAAATAGGGCACAGTTTAATTGCTTTTTAATGTTTTACATACTAAGATTTTAACCCCATTCCTTTTAATACTGTGAGCCACCCTTCTTGGGAGAAAGGTGGTCTATGAATGAATGAATGAATGAATCAATCAATCAATCAATCAATCAATCAAAGTATCTCTTCCCCATCTCCAAGGCTCAGTCCCATCCTTAAGAACCAGTCACCTTTTTCAAGAGTCCTTACGCCTGTGGATGGCGAGGGCCGTGAGGCTGATCTTTGGCGAGCGGTTTGCTGGGCTCTGGAGGCCTCCTGGTTTCTCTTCAGCTCCCGCACTGCCTCCTGTAGCTGCGCCTTCTCGTCCAGGTGACGGGAGACCACTCTTCCCCATCTCCAAGGCTCAGTCCCATCCTTAAGAACCAGTCACCTTTTTCAAGAGTCCTTACGCCTGTGGATGGCGAGGGCCGTGAGGCTGATCTTTGGCGAGCGGTTTGCTGGGCTCTGGAGGCCTCCTGGTTTCTCTTCAGCTCCCGCACTGCCTCCTGTAGCTGCGCCTTCTCGTCCAGGTGACGGGAGACCATCTCCTGCTGCTGGGCTTCTAGGCGGTGCAGCCGGCTCTTCAGCTGCTGATGCTCACTGAACAGGCGGAGAGCGAACTGACCGATGGTCTCTATGGCCCTGATAAATTCCTGGGCCAAGGGGTCAGGGGAGCACCTCAAAGCCTGCCAAGGAGGAAAGAAGGGCAAGACATCAAGCAACACAGGCTTCTGTGGTCTTTGGTAGTGTTGCCCACAGCATCATTATTAGAGGACTCCAGCAATGGCAGGAGGCTGAAGGTATTTAGGTGGAGCTGTTCCAAATAAAATAGCAGGGCTCCTGGGAAGAACAGCAAGACCTCCTTATCTGCTGGGGATTGATGCCAAGCCCCCAGCCTCCCATGGATACTGAAAACTGTGGATAATAGCAAACATAATTGATCTAAAAGAAAAAAAATATTTTCACAGGCATTACCAGAACTGGTCACTAGACCATGCTATGCATTTCTCACTAAGAAGTATTCATAGAACCGTCTCTGGGACCATCTAGCTGCCAGGTCTGGTAATACATGTGAAAAGTTTTTTCTGCTTTTTTTTCCCTTTAAACTATTTTCCAGACCGTGGATACAGATACAGGGATCCTACTGCAATTTGGGCCAGAATATCCACCTCTGAAGCATGTCCTTGCCCACTAGAAACAGCGTTTTAGCATCTGGAGGAACTGGACGAAGAACTCTGAAAACCGCTATCCGTTCTTTTCTTGAAATCATGGGAAACGGGGGGAGGTGCCAGAGGATTGGAGGAGGGCCAATGTTGTCCCTATCTTTAAAAAGGGCAAAAAAGAGGAAATTGGGACCTACAGGCCAGTCAGCCTGACATCAATTCCAGGCAAAGTTCTGGAACAGATTGTAAAGCACCTAGAAAACAAGGAACTAATAACTAGAAGCCAATACGGATTTCTCAAGAACAAATCCTGCAAGACTAATTTGATCTCATTTTTTGATCAGGTCACCTCCCTGACAGACAGAGAGAATGCTGTAGACATAGTAAATCTTTAGCAAAGCTTTTGACCAAGTGCCCCATGA